CCAGAACGTCAAACGCTGGGCCCGCCATTGATAAATTTGATCGGCAGCCTCGTTTTTGTTTCACACCTCCAGAATTTGAGGTGTCAGACCCACGGTCCAGGTGCCCATGTACCGGTGCTTTAAAGGGGGGAAAAAACTTGAGCAAAAGGAAAGAGGAAACACAAAACCCAAACCCAAAAGTGTGAGCAAAAAACCCTTACAGAACCCAAATGCAAAAATCAAACCAAAAGCCAGAAAATGACGCCGCCAGGGCCCGCCACAGAGGTGGGCATTTTTTTATCTCACACCCGTGACCCAACCCGCCCTTTTTTTTTTTTTTTTTTTTTTTTTTTTTTAAGAGTGCTACGCCGCACTCACCTCAAGACGACCCTGCCCACCCAAAATATTCTTTGAAATTTCAGCCCCATGCCCGACCTGCCCGCCACCCGAAAAAGGTCCTGACCCGAACCCACCCGCACCCGTGAGAACATCATTACCCGCCTGCACCCATGACCTATTTTTTTTGCCACCCGCACCCGCTTGTGCCGATGCAGCTCTGCCCACAACTCCTCCACCGGTGTTGCCACCTCTCTGCCTTGGACCTCTTGCCAGTGTCACTCCGTCATGGCGTCGCACAGCTAGGTAAGGCCAGGTAAGTTGGGGGCGGACTTCCGAATTTGCCAAGTTCGCTAACCAAGGGCGAAGTTCAAAGAGGACGGATCTAGCCGCCTACTGTGGCTAGAACCGCTCCCTCCTTTTCTTAAAGAAAAACTGGGCAAGGGGCTGGACTGCTGAAGCATGCTTTTTGTTTTTTTTTTCTTGGCCACGATGCAACAGGCGACCCTGCACGACTCTACCCAGGCCTGTTTTTTTTTGTTTCTCTCAACCTCGAGCCTGTGCTCTGCAAAGGTGGACCCAAGGCCTTGTTCGTTTTTTTTTTGGGTGGTGGGGGTCATTTTCTTGGGTGCCCCTGAGTCTATGGGTCGGGTGACCCAGGCCAACGCTTCACCCACCCGATGGGGGACCCAGAGCAAATATTGACCCGCCCATGACCCACAAATGTCCAATAGCTGCACGCGCCCGTCACCCACCCAAGGAGGAATAGGTAGACCCAAGCCCAACCCAACCACTTTGTGGGTCGGTTGGGGCAGGTGGGTGCAGCTGTGGGCACCCGGTGCCCACGTCTGAACCGCCAGTTTCAAAACCCAACCACCAGACACAAAACCCCCTCCCATGCGATCTCAGCTTGTTCCCACCCTACCCAGTAGAAATGGGAAATTTCCTTACTTGCTGTCCCCCCTCCCACGCGATCTCAGCTTGTTCCCACCCTACCCAGTAGAAATGGGAAATTTCCATACTTGCGGCACACTTAACCGGTGCGCCGTGCGCCATGCGCTCACGGGTGATGTGTGCGCACGTGCGCACCGCGCGCACTGAGCGCGCACTGGCAGTGCGCTGTAGTGTGGCCGAGTGACCCCCATGCCCGCGCACCTGCGGATGTGCCTTAATTTTTTTTTTTTTTTTTTTTTTGTGTGTGTGTGTGTGTGTGTGCGTGTGTGTGTGTGTGTGTGTGTGCGTGTGTGCCCTTGATA